GGAGGTGATGGCAGAGCTCACTGCTCTGCTGGGTTCTGCCTTAACCTGCTGGCGGGTGGCAGCGGAGGCGTGGGGCCAAGGCTTTCCATCCCATTTGGCAATAAAAGCCCTATTTCTGTGCACAGGGAAGCAGGGAGATGAGCACTGCCCCATACCTACCTCCTGGGACACGGCTGGAAGAGTCGTTTTGCAGCTGGGTATCGCTTTCAGTCTGTGCTAAGTCTCCAGAGGATTGGATTCTTGGCTTTCACAAGGGTCAGTTGGATAATGAAGAAATGGAAAAAACAAATCAATCCTTTTTTTAGTTGTGCACAGGCTGCTGGGATCAGTGTTTTTGGAGGGTAAGGCTTTGTGCAGCAACAGGAATAAACTGTAGGTGCTGGCACAGGCTTTGGGTGGTGACAAAGAGTTGAGCGTAGCCAATGTACCTTCTTCTGAAGTCTTCTGCAGGGCCAGAACTGTGCCAGCTCTTACAGTGCTCGAGAGCTTCCCAAACAGCTGCAGATGCAGCAAACTGCTTTGCACAAGAGTTTGGTATTTTTTTTTCTTCTTTTTTTTTTTTTTTTGACACGTGCAGTACTTTTCCTTCACCGAATTGCCATCTTCCGCGTAGGCAGCGGTGACAAGTGACCCAGGAAACAGCTCGCGATGCGGCGTCTCGTCTGGCATCTGTATTTGAGCAAAACACTGTAATTTACAGGAGCATTCATCAGCACAGCTCAGTTGCAGAGTTCTTCAACTGACACGGGGGGGGGAAATAAATAGACAATAAATTTCGCGCTAGCGTATTAAAAGGCACGTATCAGAACATCAGAATAGGTGCTCAAAATACTATTTTGTCACAGACTTTTGCCAGCTGTTCAAAGTCAGCAAAAAAATTGCTGGTTATTTCAGTGGGAGTTCAATCAGACCGAGCTGTGTTATAAGAAAACTGGGGGGACTTGTGCTTTTGGGATAATTCTCTGTGAAAAAGCCGTCTCTGCCAACCGTGCAAGCTGCAGGGGCGGGGGGCCATTTTATTTTTAAACTTCTGCATTTATTTTTCATGGGCTGCATCGTGGCTGATGCATTTACACACGGTATGTAGGGTAAGGAGCTGTAAGTGAGGCTGGAACCACAGCTTTGGCTGTGATCCACCCCGACAGTCCCAGCCCTGAGCACCAGCACCCTTTAAAACCAGCCCCAATCATGTTTTTAAACAAAGTTTAATCTAAAATAAACAAGTTTGGCCCTAAAACTAGCTGTAACTTAAAGTTGTACCAGAATTCTCACGGAATGTAGAAATCAGTTTATGTAAAAAATTCCTGTTTTACCCTGGCAGAGCTTGTCCTTGGAAGGGAAGGAAACATTTTCAGCTGCTGTAGGGTCCCCCAGATGGGGATCTGAAATCCTCTGTTCACAGAAGAGCCCCTGGTTCCTTCTACCCTGAAATTAGTGCCAGCAGGGCAGTTTGGAAACACCCAGGGAATTACCACCCGTTGAGCTCCTGGGTAGCACCCCCTCTCCCCCTGCCCCCGGGGAGGGGGGTAAGAGTCAAAGTGATGAATCAAAGATTCAACATCTGTACTGCAAGTTACCTTGGCTTAAACCCCCGGCTTTCCTCTCCCAACGTCCCCCCCAGCCTTCACCACCACCATGTGGTTGGCTGTTTTAAGTGAAAAAACATATTCCTGTTGTGCAGCCGCTGTTTTTTGTTAATCGTGTTAAAATCTTCACCAGGGCCTTCCTTGGGCACTGCAGCTGGAGAGGTGGCACAAAATAAGAGCTGAGAATTATTTTTCTTTCATAGAATCGTCTAGGTTGGACGGGACCTTAAAGCTCATCTAGTCCAACCATCAACCTGACAAAAAAATAAGTAAGAAATAGGCAATAAAAAAATCACTAAACCATATTCTTGAGGACCATGTCAACCTGTCTTTTGAACACCTCCAGGGATGGTGCCTCAACCACTTCCCCGGGCAGCCCATTCCAATGCTGGATAACCCTTTCTGTGAAGAAATTTTTCCTAGAAATTTTTCCTTGTCGTTAGTATTTGGGTTTTATGGTTGGTTGTCAACAGACCAGAACAGGAACCCCCAGAGAAGCCCCCACAAATAGATGAATAAACAGAGCGTTGGGGTTCCAGGTGAGGGGGGGTTGATACCTGTTGCATTTTGGTTTCCAGGAGCTGGATTTTCTTGGGAGCTGTTCCAGCGGGCAGCGTGCTGATGGGTCGGGCGATGGCGTTGCCTTGCAGGACAGCAGCGTGTTTAATATTCATTAATTTGAGAGGTTTTGGGAAGAAGAGTGGCTGGCAGGAAGGCGGGGGCTGCTGAAGGCAAGGTCTGTCCCCTCCAACCCCAAGGAGTGTGTGTCAGCAAGAGTGGAAAAATGCCTGAGAGACCCCCACATCCCTCAGCCACTGCCAGGTCCAGAACATCCTGGTGCTGCTGCTCCTGGAGGAGCAGGAGCTCTGTGGGGGGAGCGTTTGATGCTGGTGCTTCGTTCCTCTGAGTCACAGCAAGTTTAGAAACCCGACCGTGGAACATTCAAAAGATGGCAAGTGGAGAGGACAGCTTTGTCTTCTCTGCCATCCAGCCTTAATCAAACAGGAGGGGGAAAAGCCTGGTGTATTTTCCCTGAGCTCTGTCAACGATTATCATTCCACAGATGGTAGGGGGGGAAAAAAAAGTGCTTGATGAGGTACGGGAGGGGAGCTGGTCACATCTAGTCACAAAACCTTCTTTTCCCCTGCTCACCCTCTGCTCTGGGTCTGTTCTCTCCCGGGGGCACGGCAGGGGTGGGCTTTTCTCTCCTGCCTGGCTGGTGCCCCTTCCTCTGAGCCCACTCTCCGTGGCTGCTTGGTCTCCCACACTCTGGTGCTCCCCTGAGCTTTCCTCTCTTCTCCCATCCTCCAGCCGTGGAGTTTGAAGTCCCAGCAGAGGAAAAGCAGCCGATTTCACAGGAGCTGCCTTTCCCTTCCAACTCCAACAGCCCAGCAGGGGTGGGAAGAGCCTTCCCCAGCACTCGAGGTTTCCCCTGGTGAGGTGCTGGAGCCGGGCTGGTGGAGCTCAGCCCGTGTGTGGGACCCCTGCAGCAGCCAAGAGCTGGGATCTCTCAGCCCAACCCACTGCTGGGAAGGATTCCTGGGCTGAGGATGGGATTATTTCACTGCAGGGAGGCACAGGGAGGGAGCCAGCCCTTGGGGAGAGGGAAAGCCTTTCTCTCCTTTTCCTGTCCCAGGCCCTGCTCAGTGGAAATGCGGTCTCTACTCCCATTTTCAGTGGGCAGCTGCAGCCCAGAAGGACAATCCCATCCTGGGCTGCATCAAAAGCTGCGTTGCCAGCAGGTCCAGAGAGGGGATTCTGCCACTTTACTCTGCGCAGGTGAGACCTCACCTGGAGTATTGTGTGCAGGTCTGGAGCCCTCAATATAAGAAGGACATGGACCTGATGGAGAGGGTCCAGAGGAGGGCCACAAGGATGATCAGGGGGATGGAGCACCTCTGCTACGAGGACAGGCTGAGGGAGCTGGGGTTGTTCAGCCTGGAGAAGAGGAGGCTCCGGGGAGACCTAATAGCAGCCTTCCAGTACCTGAAGGGAGCCTACAGGAAGGCTGGGGAGAACCTGTTTAGAAAGGCCTGCAGTGACAGGACGAGGGGCAATGGCTTCAAGCTGGAGGGGAACAGATTTAGACTGGAGATGAGGAGAGGGTTCTTCACTGTGAGGGTGGTGGAGCACTGGAAGAGGTTGCCCAGGGAGGTGGTTGAGGCCCCTTCCCTGGAGATATTCAAGGAGAGGCTCGACGAGGCCCTGGGCAACCTGGTCTAGTTGGGGGTGTCCCTGCTGACTGCGGGGAGGTGGGACTAGATGACCTTTGGAGGTCCCTTCTGGCCTGGGCAATTCTATGATTCTATGATTTTCCAAAGGATGGGTAATTTGGGGGAGAAGGGCTGCACCTACCTCTGAGCCGCAGAGACGAAACCGTGCATCTCATCGGAGCTGGATTCATTAATGCAGAGAGACACGGGTGGCTTTTTGCTCCTTACCTGGAGAGCTTCCAGCATCAAGACAGTCCTTGGGTGCTTTGATACCTTCTTCTGCCTTGGCGAAGCAGCATTTCCAGCCCAGGCATCCCAACTCTTCCCAGAGCCCGGCTACTCGCAAGGCTGCTGGAAATTTGTGCTTTCATAGTGTCTGAACCCCCAGGGAGACATGAATCTTTCAGAGGCTTCATGCAAATAAAATGCAGCATTTTACAGTCTTGGGCATAGCCTCGGGTTCCTCAGGTTCCCCTAACAAAGTACTGATTTTCTGCTCTTTTATTTATTTCATTTAGTAAAGATTTTCAGTTCACTCTTGGTTCAGCGCTATATAACCAACATAATCCTATTTTCCTACTACTTAACCAGATAATCAAGATGCCAAAAGCATTTCTGTGGCTGGAGAATTCCTTTATTTTTCTGCCTTAAGATTCTAATTGCAGCCATGTATGAACCTCTGCTTTACAATACAGAAAAACACGATTTAGTCCCCAGAAAAAAAAAAAGAACATGGGAACGCATGCAGGGAGACTCATTGTCATTTGGAGGAGTAACAATAATATAATACAATTTAGACCATTGTAGCAAAGATGTAAGTGACAACAGCTCTGTGTTCAGTGAAAACAAAAAAAAACAGCCAGTCTCCAGGCATCTTTTGGGTTTTCTTTCCCCTAGAAAGGGGTGCAGGCAGACTCCCTGTCCCTCCTGCTTCTCAGCTATGGAGTTGGGTCCCTGGAGTTAATTTTCTGGAGTTAGTGGTGTCTTACAGCTGCCTTTGGGGCAGGGGGAGGAGAAGATTGGGGTGAGGAGGGTTGTGCTTACCTGCCAGAGCACCTCGAGGCGCTGAAAACAGCGGGGCTGCTACTGCAGGGACCCCTTCCTTGTTATTAAGGCCCAAGGGCAAGCGCCGTTATCATCTGTTTGATCCTAACTTAAAGATAAACCACCCTGAAATGCCTCTTTTTGGTTTTCCCTGCAGGTAAATACGTCTATCAGCCCATGACCCCCGTGGAGCAGCTCCCCAGCACCGAAATACCCGTTCGCCCCCGGGAGGCTCCGAACACCATCCAGATCTCCGTCTCGCTCACCGAACACTTCCTGAAGTTCGCCCCCGTCTTCCAGCCCCCCCTGCCCCCCGACTCCCCCCAGTTCTGCACCATCGCCGACCTCTTCATCGACAACTACCGCGTGAAGTGCATCAACGGGAAGATGTGCTACGTGCAGAGGCAGCCTCCCCCCGTCCCCCACAAGGTCAAGCCCGAGGAAGTCTCCGTCCGCAACGCCTTAATCACAAAAGAGAGCAATACACCAAAAACGGATCACTGCTCCTCCCCTTCCAGCTCCGAGGACTCCGGGATCAATGCGGTGGGGGTGCACTACATCGAGTCGTGTGACGAGGACACGGAGGGGGTGGCTGAGCTGAGCTCAGAAGAAGACTACAGCCCGGACAGCAGCTGGGAACCCGACGAGTGCCCGCTCCTGTCACCCTCCCAGTGCGAAATGGAAGTCATCGAGACTATAGAAACCACTGTGTGATCCGACAAGTTGGTATCAGAGCAGTCCAGTTCCCACTCAGTAACGTTGCTTTTTGTAGTATTTATATTTTCTGGTTGGTTTTTTTCTTTTGTTTTTCTGACAATCCCTTTTTTTCCAGTGCACTTGATATTTCGGATCCCTCACGGGAGCGCGGTGGCGGGACTGGCGCGTTGGTCAACCAGCAGCAGCCTGAGCAATTTTAACGTGTTCTCAGCCCGATCAGATCTCCCACCTCTGCACGGAAGGTAGTGATAAAAAGACTTTTCTAGCTGAAACAGGCCCTTTTCTTGGTCACATCATACACTTCTCACACAGGGATGTGCCACTCGAGCTGTTTCCATCTGTGTGGATGTTTGCAGCGGGCCGTCAAAGCACAGAGGGTGAGCTGGCAGCACACCTGCCAGCAGCAAAACCAAGTTGCCCTTATTCTTTCCTCAAAACAGCCACACGAGGTGCGGCCACAAGAGGCTCTTTCCCTCTCTGTCTGTCCTCGGGCGTCCGTCCATCCTTTTCTCTAGTGCTGGTGTGACCCTTCTCGAAGGCTGGTGGCCCCGCTCTCCCGGCGGGGTGGTGCGAGGGGCTAGAGAATGCACAAAGTGCCTCCCAACTTTCCTCCAGGCTATGCACCGAGCAGCTGCTGAGTTAGGGCAGGCTCTGAAATCTCCTGAGAAGGCACAACCTTTGCTCCGGAGGGGGGGAAATCTGTTGCCTGGATCCAGCTGGTCCTTTTTTCTCTCTCCGTGGCTGTCGGGACGGGGATCTGGCTTGGGGAGCGGGCAGAGGTGGAGCGCGGGCGTCTGAGCGATTCCGGGCTGGACTTGGGGTGCAAGATGCAGGCGAAGGAAGCCACTACCTCCAAAAACACACGAGATCCCCCCTGGGCTTTGCCTGCTGCTTCCTCCTGCGCTGTTTGGTGCCAGGCACACGCACTCAGGACGCCTCAGGGCCTGCATCTGCCTGAAGAATAACAAAAATTTAAAATGTAAAAAAAAAAAAAAAAGTTTTAATCAGCCACACCACTGTGTTGGCAGAGCTCGGGGACAGCGTGGAGGTGGCCCATGGGCTGGGTAGCCCGTGGGCTTGTTAAAATACAGCCTGGGGTCACTCCAGGGGGGAGAGGAAGCCTCGGTGCCCGCTCCTGGTCGAGGAGGGGGTTCTGAGTCTCCTGAGGTGCCTGGAGGGAGCGAGCTGTCCCGCTGCTGGGTTTGCTTTCAGCCCTGCTCCACAAAACCCGTCCTTCTCAGAAGGTTTCAGTGGGCTCGGACCAGCTGGAGTCAGTAATAACTGCGTTTCCGACAGCATTCCCAAATCACTTTGTCTCCTGGGCTGTTCCAAAAGCCCCCGGTGAATGGCAGGCTGTGTAAAGGTGTACAGTTCAGTGGTTGGTACTAGATTATAGTCCGTGTTATAGGATGGCTCATCTCTCTCACCGTATCCTGACAGTGTAGTACTGGTTTTATACACTTTGTAATCGGTATCTTTAGGAAAAAAAAAAAAAACAACAAAAAACAAAACAAAAACGTTTAGGCAACAGTGTGTGTCTGTGCACCTGCGCGTGTGCTAGGAGTTTACCATAAACGGTTATCAAGTAATACTGTACTTTTTAGACTAACACTTTCAGACAAAAAAAAAAAAAAAAACCATAGGTTTTATAGTTTTGATGCCTTGCATAAAAAAAAAAAGTGCAATGCTTGTTAAATGAGGAACTTGGGCCATTGCATGAACAGCTACATTCTCACAAGGCACCCCAAAATACTCCGTTTTTTTTCCCTGAGGGCATTTAAACGAAGGCCGTAGTAAAACTAAGTAGGATTTACGTATTTTTTAAGGGCGGGGTCGTCTTTCTTGATTTACTGAGGTTTCTAACAACGTTTTAGTGTCTTTTAACCATTCAGACACATTCCATAGGTAGAAGGAAGCGTTACGTATAAACCTACAGCATTTATTCATATTTAATCTTTCAATTGTAATCTCGAGGGGGGAGCTGGGGCAGCTTGTCCCTGTGCCTGCCCTGCCTGAGCATCCTGCCCAGGGGTGGCTTCTCCTTCCCGGGAGGCTGGGGTGGCCCTGGCAGAGGGAGGAGTGGCCGTGGGGGGACCTGTCCTGAGGTCAGGGTGGCTTCTGGGGGACACCAAGCACGGGAAGGGGCATCAGGACCCTCTGACCTGGCAGGAGCTCACCTTGTGTGCGAGCAAGCGGGAGCCGCCTCCAGCTGTGAGCGCAGCAGGGGTCAGTGGGTGTTGGTGGCTGAGAGATGGCACAAGGTCCCTCTGGTCCGGCAGGTCCATATCACTGTCGTCAGGATACATTCTCTCTTAAACTGTAAGTAATTAGCAATATTCACAAGCTGTGAGTGTCTCCTACCCAGGATTTGTTCAAGGTGTCTTAAGCACAATCAGCTGCCTCTTCCGCCCGCGGTACCTGGGCGAGGGGAGGGGGGAGCAGCCCGGTGGGACGGGGCCGGTCCCGGGGGGCGTTCAGCAGCCAGGGGGGGGCTGTCGCCGTGCTCCCTCCCCCCACCAGCGCAGAAACACGCCCCACACACCAACGGGGGCTCTTCTCTTTGCACAAACACTGGCGTCCACGTGCTGTAAGAGACGTGCCCTGGGCCCGTTGCTCCGCTCTGCCAGGGAGAGGCGTGTATATTTCCTCTTTAATAAAATACTAAATAACTCGCTAAGTTCCGCGTGTCCTGACTCACCCTGTGTTTTCCACACTAGAGTGAAACGGTCTGATGTTTGCAGCAAAGGAAGGGTCACTTACAGCTTCAGACAGCAGCACCTGAGACACACACCCAGTGCAAGGCAGAGAAATGTAGTGACCAGGTTGGAGCACACCAGGGTTTGGGCACCTGGTAAGTCCTGGGGCTGGTGGGCAACCTCACAGCCCGGTTCTGCCTCACCTCTAAGTGGCCCATCGAGGAGGAGGACGAGCTGCAAGCCCAGGCTGATGTCTGGCAGCCTCTGCAGCCCCTTGTTTTACCTCCCCTCAGGCTGGAAGCATCCGCCTGGGGCACCATTTTGTAGCTCTTAAGGGCAGTAGGAAGGAGGGGAGTGACACTGGGCCACCCCGCGTTCCTGCCATCCCACCTGAGCTCTGCAGGGACAGCCCCAGGCTCCACATGTCAGTTCTGTGTGCCTGGAGAGCAACACCCGGGTACAGAGCTGTGTGTGTGACACTACAGACACACCACGGCTGTTGGACCGGTTCTGCCTCACCTCTAAGTGGCCCATCGAGGAGGAGGACGAGCTGCAAGCCCAGGCTGATGTCTGGCAGCCTCTGCAGCCCCTTGTTTTACCTCCCCTCAGGCTGGAAGCATCCGCCTGGGGCACCATTTTGTAGCTCTTAAGGGCAGTAGGAAGGAGGGGAGTGACACTGGGCCACCCCGCGTTCCTGCCATCCCACCTGAGCTCTGCAGGGACAGCCCCAGGCTCCACATGTCAGTTCTGTGTGCCTGGAGAGCAACACCCGGGTACAGAGCTGTGTGTGTGACACTACAGACACACCACGGCTGTTGGGCTGCAGCAGGTGGACTGTTGTGTGACAGAGTGACAAAGGTGCTGCTGGGAAGGGACACTGCCCAGTCTGGCACTGCAGAACCATGGGCTGAGCTCAGTAGTGACAAACCTCTCCAACCATCACAGAATCTTCTAGGTGGGAAGAGACCTTAAAGATCATCTTGTCCAACCGTCAACCTAATTTTGACAAAAATAAACACCCACACAACAAACAAGGAGCATCATCACTAAACCAGACCTCCCAGCACTACATCAACCCGTCTTTTGAACACCTCCAGGGATGGGGCCTCAACCCCCTCCCTGGGCAGCCCATTCCAATGGCTGAGAACCCTTTCGGTGAAAAAATTGTTCCTAATATCCAGCCTGAACCTCCCCTGGTGTAACTTGAGGCCATTTCCTTCATCGTGCCGATGCTCTCCACCTCACAGCCCCCACGGGCCTGCAGCACCTTTTTTACACACCCACACGCTCCCCCAGCCCCTCAGTGTAGGTGCAACAAGGCGAGCAGGGGGAGACAGGCTGCAGCTTCCACCACAGCTCGGTGGCAACTGTGCTACGGAACCGGTAGCCAGCAGCAGGGCTGGACCAGGAGCCCTCTGACCCGCTCCCCTGGGGCACAGCTCAGGCAGCAAAGTTCAGCCAAGGGCCTTTTAATGGAGGTCTGCAGGAACACACCGTGCGCGGGTTGGTTTGCTCACACCTGTACCAATTTCTGCATTCTTCAGCCTTTTCCACATTTGCCTCTTCCGTGCCCCTTGACCCCACAGGGGATGGGGGGCCAGGCCTTGGCAAAAATCACTATTTTTTTTTTTCAGTGCTGCAGTTAAACCCCACAAACCCAGCACAGCACCGTGGGACATGGGCTCTGGGCACAGGACCCCCCTCTCCTCCCACGGAGCGGAGCTGGCCCCGGCCCCGTTGTTTGGCAAAACTACGGCTGCTGCCGCGAGCCCCCGGGGCGGTGCAGGTAGCCCAGCGCCGCGCGGTGCTTCGGCACCCTTGGCTTTGCCCCCAGAGTTCACAGTTTCCAGCCCAGTGGCCCCGTGGCCACCTCGGTTTAGTGAGAGGCAGCAGCAGAAGTGGGATATCACCCGCTGCTACAAACCCCGCAGCGCTCAGCGAGACTCGACGCGGCACAGAGGGTCCAGGAAAAGCCCCTGGATGGGGGGAAAAGTCCAACGTTGTGATGGAAAGGCTTCCAGGCACCGAGAGCAGCCGTGGCAGAGGGTTAGTCTTCAGCCAGCGGAGGGGGAGCCAGGTGGAGCTGGAAGTTCTCGTTCTGGAAGACGCTGCTGGTGGCCGGGTCACCGTGGGACACGCTGAGGAGCCCGTGCTTCTCACCCCCGTGGCTGCGGGAGAGCTCTGTCAGGAGAGCCAGCTGCAAGACAGCACCAGAGAGAGGTCACCACCAGCTGGGGACACGGCACACAAGGACACAGTGCCCCGGGGAGGGGGGCTCGCCTTTTGCAGCGATCAGAAATACCTTAACACCTGTAAAGGGTGTGTAGAGAACCACAGAATCTTCATGGTTGGAAGGGACCTTTGAAGGCTGTTGAGTCCAACCATACACACACACACAAAAAAACCCCAAACAAACAAACAAAAATACCCCACCAAAAAAACCCACAAAACAAAACACCCAACCCAACAATCTCGGGCACTAGAGCATGCCCTGAAGAGCCACCGCTACAGGTTTCTCCAATCCCTCCAGGGATGGTGACTCCACCACCTCCCTGGGCAGGCTGTTCCAGTGCCTGACCACCCTCTCAGGAAAGTCATTCTTCCTCACATCTCATCTAAACCTCCCCTGCCCCAACTCCAGACCATTTCCTCTGCTCCTGGCATTATTCCCTTGGGAGAAGCGGCCAATGCCCACCTCTCTCCAAACTTTCAGGGAGTTGTAGAGGGCAATGAGGTCTCCCCTCAGCCTCCTCTTCTCCAAACTAAACATGCCCAGTTCCCTCAGCCTCTCCTCTTGTGACTTGTTCTCCAGACCCCTCACCAGCTTGGTGGTTCTCCTCTGGACACGCTCCAGCCCCTCAATGTCCTTCTTGGAGTGAGGGGCAATATACATCCATATAGTATGTAGTCACCCTGCAGAGCTCAGGGCAGGACAACAGTCCTGAACTAAACAACTTTCCGTTGTGTCTCTAGGTTGTTTTAAAGTCACATAATGGAAAAATAATCCCAGGAAGAGCTGGAAGTGCCAACGACTGCAGCCAAAACAGGCAGGAAAACACAGGGGACAGAGGGAGCTGTGCTCTCCTTGGGACAAGGCAGGAGGAGGGAGCCTTCTGTGCCATGGCAGGAGCCGCAGCGCGTCTGGCGGGGAAGTTATTTGCAAATCTAAAAAGACTCCAAGAAACCTCAGGCTGTGGACACTCTTGAGGCCCAGCCTCAAGGCCAGAGGCATTTCCATGGTTTCTCTGCCAGCCGGTTCCCCAGGGCTGTCAGAGGCAGCGTCGCTGCCTTGTGATGTGCCACACACAGCAAACTGCCAGCACGGAAGGAAACCCAGGAGAAAAGCCAAAGCCCAGGCTGCCAGGGCTAATATCTGGCTCCGTAACGTGCCAAATATCCTTCACCAATTTAAAAGCGGGGGGACAAGGGGCGGTACATACTCTGGAGGTTCCTCGGTTGAGTCGGCAGAGCTGGTCGAAAGCTTGGATTTGCTGGGGATCCAACAGAGACTCGGAACTTGCCTGGTGAAGAGAGTGAGATGGTCACAGGAACAGCACACGACAAGGTCTCAGGTTCATACACACAGGAATTCCTCCCTTTCTCCCGTCCTTGGGCCCCGAGCAGCCCCTCCACAGCCTGCCTGGGGGGGGTTCAGCCGTCTCTCCCCTGGCTGGAAGCCACCCTGTGCACCTTAGTTTTGAGAAAATAAAGTAAATCCTGTTGTTGAACAACAGGCAGAGATGCCTGTGCATCCAGGGTGACTCACTGCTGGAGTCTGCAGCTGATGGCAGACACGCTAATGGGGCTGTTACCTTTGGGGGGAAAAAAAATTAAAAAAAATAAAATAAAGAGAGAAAAGGGGAGGGGAAACCTCCCCGCAGCCAGCTGGGAGAGCAGTAATGGGTCTCTGCAGACCAGCAGCCTCTCCTGGGCTCTTCCCCAGGCAGCAGCAGCTCCCCCCAGTCCTTTCTCCTCATCTCCTGATGGTCCCCCCCCCAGCCTCCCTGCGGAGGCTCAGGCAGTGCTCTGTCTCCTGCCTGGCTACCAAGGGAATGGCTGCTGTGCCACTGCCCATCACCTGCTAATGGTGTCTCTCCAAAGGTCCATTTTTTCCCCTGGTAGGATGTTACAGGCTAAAAGGGAGGAAATGAGGGGTGAAAAGGTTTGGGGTGGGGGGGATGTGGGGGAAAGGGGGACAAGGTGGCTCACACAGCAGTCACAGCCATGTCCCCGGAGACACCAGACACAACAGGCATCCTGGCAGTGCCCAGCAGTGTCAGCGATGGTGGGTACAGGGTAAGTGTCCCCCCAGAGTTGGTGGCGAGGGCAGACAGGACTGCAAATGGAGGGACAAGAGCTCTAACGCATGGAGGGCTGTGCACACACTCAAACTGCTTTAAAAGGCATCATTTACATATCCCAGGGAGAGATGACAAGAGCATCGCAGATTCTTGTAGGTTTGTTCCATTTTAACACATCACAATGTTTCTATTTTGAATGTTTCTGCTCATATTCCAAAGCAAAAGCATCATCAAGAAACTACAACAGGAGCCAGGGAGAAGAGCCTCCCCCCACGAGCAGCAATCTGGCATCTGTTGTCTCTGGGGATCTATTTTTAAGGGAATATTCAATGTTCATTCTCAAATATTTTCCCTGAAATACATTTCCCAAGGGTTATTAACCCAAAATGCTCCAGTCCTGTCAGTGGGGACCGACCGGAGTTGCCTTGACTTTAAACTCCTTGGTGATGGACCCAGCCCTGCAGGACGGAGGAGCTTGGCTGCCTCCAAGGAGCACCATCAGCTGGAATTTGGGGAGAACTCCCAGCCCCACGGAGGCAGTGGGGGCTTCAGCGTCCCCAGTCAGGCACCAGCTCTGGTCATGGCCCTGGAGAAGCTCCCTGTGTCCTGGACAAAGCTCTTGGACAGGGTTTCTCCTGAGCAGCCCTGCCCAAAGTGGATGAGGAGCCACGCTCTGCCAT